GGCGCGCGCGCGCCGGGGGAGCCCTGGGGCGCCTCGCGGGCTTCAGGGCGAGGCAGTGCAAATCTGTGATGGGAATCCGGAGGTGTCACCCGTCTAGCCGTGCCTTCGATTTCGTTTTGCACGGATGTGTAAAAAGCACGCTGCAAACATTACTTCTGGAGTGTTCCTTCCCTGGGGATGACGAAGTTAATTTCATTTTATTTATTTATTTAAAAGCTTTCTGTGGCCGCTCATCTTAAACTCAACTCTAGGCGTCTCACCACAGCAATTAAAACCCAGTAGCTATAAAATCATAAAACCATAAAATCATAAAACACCAGCCTGAGGGCAATTGCATTTCGTAAAATGCAATAATAATGACCCATCGGTGTAATAAAAATGGGAACCCCGTCTTTCCCCTATCGAGCTCAAGGCTGTTCCAGCAGTTTGCTCACAATTCCATACTGAGGGTGCAATCGGTCTCCAGCTGCCTAGTGAGCTTTAGAAGTGGGGTGGGATTTGAACTCGGGACACAAAAAGATTCATGAAGTAGAGCAGAGGGGACAGCCTTGTGATGATCAGGGGCCACATTTGACTTTTGAGAAGAGGGGTAAAAGTAATCTGGTTTGAGCTGAGCTCAAATCCTGGTGATCTCAGGATGCATCCAGGCACTCTTCTTGGCAGTGGTAGGGAAGTGCTGGTTTTTTTCAGTTCCCTAGCCCTGGTGGCCTCCCACCCAAACTCAAACCAGGTCTGACCGTTCTGAAATCAGCCAAGATCAGCCAGGTGCTTTTGAGGTTGGGGTGGGAGGCTCCAAAGGGTAGATAGGGTAATGATTCTTCCTGGGCGAGGCTAGTATTTGAGAGCAATGAGTTTAAAAAAATAAATCTATCCCATCTAGCTCTCTAGTAGGCTTTTGCTGCAGATTTGGTGGGACCTGCCTCATTTTTAAATAGACTTCCCACCAAAATTTGGCAATGTAATCAAAGAGGACGTTTTTGGCACAAAGGTCAGGTTATGGCATTGCAGTATGCCCTGTCCTGAAATGTAGCCTAACTGTACTGCTGTTCCCCCCTCCCCCCCGGTAATAATTTCAGTGTGCAGTCATGGTTTATTTTCAGTGTTCCCTGTTTTCACGTAATGCAAAATTCTAGTATAATGTAAGATGGAATATTGGCACTTCAGCCAATAGAGCAGTGTTTCTCTACCTTGGCAACTTGAAGTGTAAAGAGAATCACCACCCCGAAAGCGCAGAAACCTCATCCTCATCCCC